GAGAGAAAGCAAGGGACGGGCAGACTAATGACAAGAAAGAGACTGTCCAAAGGACACAGCTTTTCACGTGGCCCGTGGGTGATGGTGACGTTGGGGCTGTTAATGAACTGCACAGGCAGGCCTCAACTGCACATCCAGTTGGGGCCTCACTACGAATTTGACTCTCATTATTAAACCACCAGAGCCGACGCCCGTCCTCTGCACCACGCTACAAAATGAAAGGCTCAAGGGGTGCACCACATTTTGAGCACCCCAACTTCTATGATTTTCACTCTCATTGCTCTTGATGAAAATTTTTGAAAAAGAAATAAGTGAGGCTACGCTGGATAGCCCCTATGGAAAAAAAAAAAAAAAAAAGGATTTTCCCACGAGAGAATATTGGTGCCAAACTGAATGCATATGTTGACGAGAGTCGCTGTGAACCAGTGGGAAAGCCAGGGCAGGGTTGATCATTTCTTCACGTTTCAACAAAATAGCTTCCATGATTCTGGTGAGTGAAGCTTTCCGAACGGTACCCGCAAATCTAGCATCTGCAGCAGGAGGAGGAGGAGGAGGAGGAGGAGTACAATAACGACAACAACAACAACAAAAGAGACAAGGACAACAACAACAATGACAACAACAGCAATAACAACAGCAGCAGCGGCAGCAGCAGCAGCAGGAACAAGACAGGAGTTTAAAAACTTGGAGGTGGAGAATCAAAGAAAGGAATCTTTTGGAGGAACCTAAAACAACATCAAACTTGCATCTTGCGAGTCATTTAGACAAGAGAGGATCGATTCAAATTTTTGAAAGATGGATCTGCGCGGATAGATTCCGATAGAATAGAGATGGTCAGGATAAGAAGATTTCACTCACGAGTCACAACCATTGCCACATCCATTATTGTTGTTGCGCTAACCACTGACACGAGAAAGAACGCGAGAGAGAGAGAGAGAGAGAGAGAGAGAGAGAGAGAGAGAGAGAGAGAGAGAGAGGGAGAGAGAGAGAGAGAGAAGGGTGTAAGGAGGGAGGGAGGGAAAGGGGAAGAGGCTGTGAGTCCGAGTTTACATAGAATGGATGTTGTCATTCGCGCTAAGTACTCACAGAGAGAGTTGCACATAGCTGATGAACGTTATGTCTGTTATGTTATGTGGTTCTCTAACAAGAAATAGAGAGCTGTATACACAAGAGCAAGAAAGAGAAGAAACAACTGGAGCACCGTCTGTCTTCCAAGAAACCGAATGGCAATTCCATCTCCAAGATGGAGAAGCACCGAAGAAGTAAGGAACAACGGAGAAACAAAGAATGAGAAAGAAACGAATAAAAAAGGAATGGAAAGAAAAGGACAGGCGAAGGAATAGAGTACTATTGAAACCAATTACGTTGATCACCAGCAGGTGCCAAAGAGAGCCACACTAGGCTACCATACGTGTCGAAATACCCTTAGGATGATGAGATCCGCACTACTCTTTCTCTGTTGCCCAGTCCCAGTCCCTCTTTCTCTCTTAGTTTACGCCCTTGGAGACTGGACATAGACCTTGCTGCTGTGCATTGTCTCTGGAGCGACCATCCAGCAAAACTGGCCTTCATTAATCCCCTCCCCTTCAAGTTCGACGTTAGGGGAACTTAGGGCCATCCCTCCAATTCCCCCCCCTTCGCAGTCCACCGACGTAAAGAATCACTCTTTCTTTGGTAACCGCTTTATGATCTTGACCCGTGATGGTCGAAAACCATCCATCGCCAAGCACTCATCATCATCATCATCATCATCATCATCATCATCATCATCATCATCATCATCGGCGCCAATCGCTAGGCTTGTCAACAGGAGGATACGCAGAAGCCCCCCGCTGCCATCAATTCCTGGCTCCCTTGGTGGTCTCTATGTCTCTCTCCTTCCCTCTCTCTCTCTCTCTCTCTCTCTCTCTCTCTCTCTCTCTCTCTCTCTCTCTCTCTCTCTC